ATTATAGGAGGCAAGGCTAGGTCCGCAGAAGCGGTTGATATCTCGCAGAAGTGCACCCGTAGATGCGGAAGATTGGCCGCAGGTGCACGAGGTCCGGAGTTGAGTGTTTTCCACAAAAGAGGATTTTTTATCGCAAAAACGGCACCTTAGAAGCGGCTATTTAGACCACAGAAGCAAAACATCTGGGCAGTGTTTAAATTCGAGGGTTCCGAGATTTTTATCATTTTTGGACTTTACAAGCTCGTATTGGGGTGATTTGTGAGAGGGATTTCACGACAGTTTTTGAGGTAAACCACTTTTGATCATTTTTACTCAATAATATTGAATACCCATTGAATTTCTCCCATAGATTTGGTGTTTTTGAAGTGAAAATTTGGGGATTTTGACCCATGTATTAGAGAGTAAAAACTGGAGGTTTGAGTGGCGATTTGGAGTCGGAATTTGATAAATTTGGTATGGTTGGACTCGTGGTTGAATGGGTGTTTGGATTTTATAACTTTTATTGGATTCCGAGACGTGGGCCTGAGGTTGACTTTTTGAGTTGACTTTTTGACTTTTGATTAAGAACTTAGCATTTTCATATGGAATTGATTCCGATAGCTTGTGTTGATTGTATCGAGTTGTTTGTGGTCAGATTCGAGGCGTTCAGAGGCCAGATTTCGCGAGGCAAGGGCTTGCTAGTGGAGTGATTCATTTTTGCTTGAGGTAAGTATTGTATTTAAACTCGGTTGAGGCACTAGTTTCCTAAATTGTTGTGATAGCCATGTGCTATTAGGAGCGCACATGTGTGGGGATGAGCCCATGTGCAGGCACCAGGGTCATATATTCATGTCTGAGTTCTGCTCGGGCTCTTATAAGCCTAGAATCGACTGTTAAGCTTTAGGCTATGATATCTCACATGTTGTAACAGTTTAGGTGATCTGTTTGAGCCATGCTGAGGCTACTTAGAGGTCTAACCCCTGAACGAACTTGATATATGTTTTCAGTGTTGAAATTGCCGATTTGAGCTACGATAGCATACTCTGCACATGCATACACTTTAGCATGTCATTTATACCAGTCCAGGAGCATGACAATATTATTTTATTTATCATATACATGTATACTTGTTTAATTGCTTCCTTATGATATGTTTGGTCTGGAGGGCCGTGACTATGCCAGACGGATTATGTTATTTGCATGTGAGTTATCCGTGCAACACGTGAGTTGTCCATGCGGATCCATATATTGATATTATTAGCACGTGAGTTGTCCGTGCAGTATGTGAGTTATCCGTGCGGATCCATATATTGATATTATTAGCAAGTGAGTTTCCCGTGCAGGTTCTATTGTTAGCAAGTGAGTTGTCCGTGCAGCGTGTGGAATTAACATTTTCTTGATCATTAATCTAGTTATTTGATTCCTTCATCTACATGCCATGATATTGTCTGAGCAGGGTATTTGAGAAACTATGCACATGCACACACAGATAATCTTCTTACGAAACTTGATGAGTTAGCTTTAAATATTGTTCTATGCTTGTTTAAAGGGCAAAACTACACCGGGATAGCTAGTATCCTCAATAATTTAAGCTTCTCTTACCTTACCTTGTTTATTTACGATACTTATTAAGTTGGTTGTACTCACACTACACTCTACACCTCGTGTCCAGATCCAGGTATTTTCGGGCACGATGGTTGCTGATCTTGGAGTTTTATTTGTTAAGAGATTATCGAGGTAGCTGCTTTGGCGTCCGCAGACCTTGACTCTCCTCCTCTATCTTTTAGTTTTACTTATACTGTTCTACCTTCTTAGACAGTGTTTCAGACTATGTTATTGTATAGATGCTCATGTACTCAGTGACACCCGGATTTTGGAAAGTTTTGTATTCGAGTCGCAGTTGTTCATAGCGGCTATTTATGAGAGTTATTACTGTTAAACTTGCTTCATCTTATTTTAATAACACATTCCTAGTTTTATTGTGATTATCGGCTTGCCTAGTTCTGTGATAGGCGCCATCACAATGTGTTGAGTATTGGTTCGTGACAAGGTGGTATCAGAGCCTAGGTTATATAGGTCTCACTATTCATGAGCAGGTTTAGTAGAGTCTTGCGGATCCGTACAGAGACGTCTGTACTTATCTTTGAGAGGCTGCCGAACCCTTAGGAAAACTTCACATTCTTGTATTCTTGTCGTGCGAACTTGTTGATTCCAGAAACTAAACTTCTATTATTCTATTCTCTGATAGATGGCGAGGACACGTGCTACCAGATCGGGTGGACGGCCAGCAGTACCACCAGCTAGAGCCATGAGAGGCTAGGGTCGCGGTAGAGGCCAAGGTGTAGCTCGTACAATAGCTAGAGCAGCACTTGTTGACCCACCAGTTGCTCCAGCTCAGGAGCAGGTCCCAGATGTGGTAGAGCCGGTGGGACCAGCTCAGGCACCAGCTGTGCCCATTGTGATTCCATGCCTTCAGGAGGCTCTGGCCCAGATATTGACTATTTGCACCAGCCTTGCTCACGCGGTTATAAGGAAAATAATTTGAATACGAATTTAAAGATAAAAATATTATTTCAAATTTACATATAGAAATATTTGAGTTGAGATAAAAGAAAAATTCATTTGCTTATGGAAAATAATACAAAAATAACAATTATTAAGAATATCATTAGACTTATGACAAAATAGTAAAATTACTACTCTATTTATATTTTGAAAAAAAATTTAAAATTACAATTTGATTTAAATATGATATTATTTCAATTATATGTAAAATCTAAAATGAATAAAAGTAATTATAATATTACAGTAGAAAAAATGTACAAAGATGAAAATAGAGATAAGGATATTTCAACTTTGAATTAATTTATAAACTAAAATAAAATAAATTAAGTAAATAATACAAAAAAATATTATTGATTGTGACGACCCGATAAGTTATTTTGAGTACTAGCCCTTATTTTTGTGTTTCGAGACCTCTATTAGCTGCATTTGATATTTCTCGATTTGCGTGCTATTTGGAGGCCCAAATTAAAATCAAAGAGGAGATGGAATGAGGCCCAAATATTCCCCCAAAAGAGGAATTTTCAGCAACCCAAATAAGCCCAAAAATAGTTTCTGGAATATTTATTTAATAGTTATTTTTATCTATGTTGACTTGCATTGGTCTATGTGTATGTTTACTACATTGGTCTTAGTGTGGGTAGTCTTCTATGCTTCTAGGGAATATAATTCTCATTTATTGAAGTCTTGACTAGCTCCTTCTTTACTACTATATAAAGGGGTGCTTGTCTTTCATTGTAGAGAACAACATTGAAGATTAATATTATTATTATGAGTTCTTTTGAACCTTTGTGAACTTTACTTTGAGATTTATCTTGCAACCCTAACTAGTTCATAGCTTAAGATAGTAAGATAATTTTCTTTCTTGTGATATCTTTGTTTCTTTTGATATTCTTCGAAGGCAACTAGTTTCTTTTACTAGTTGTTGTCGTAAGTTATTCAAACTAGAAGTCAAGATCTGAATCTAGTTCTTGATTAGCTTATCTCTAGTGAAGACAATTGGTTTCATAACCAACTTGTTGTCATTAGGATCTTGCCAAAATCTAGATAAAAATAATCTCGGGGTTCTTGGATCTTTCCTTGAACTTCCACACATCTAGTTTATTTTACTTGCTTTACTCAATTCAATTGCATTTCTTTACTGATTTCGCATTTCTTCAACTTATTTTCTTTAAGTTCTTGGATCTCCCAACCTTTGTGTTATCACTATTTTACTCTACCGAGCCGGGCTATAGTCGGCCGGGTACAACACCTAGTGTGCAACCACTGATCAATTGGGTTTTACCGAGCTCCATATGGACGGGTACGATTCTATTGAGCCTGATGATGGCCGGGTACGTTTTTACCGAACTTATTACGACCGGTTACGATAGGATGATGATGATTCCCACAGAGTCGAATGTTTTTAAAATCTTATGTACATATATGTATCATGCATTTCATGTCAGTAGACCTAAAAAATACTCAGATGTTACAGGTTGTATCTCCTCTATCTCTCTTTACATTACTGTTCTTATTTATGCTTTCCAGCCTTACTTACTCGGTACTTTATTTCATTACTGCATTTCATGCTCGCAGGTCCCCATAGACAAGTTGACGGTCCTCCTAGTAGGCTATCAGCTCAGCAGAAGGTGTTGGTGCACTCTACCTTCTCCGGAGTTGCCTATTTGGTCAGTATGCCTTGGACATGTATTGATTGGTATGGCGGGGACCTTTCCCAATCTTTATGATATTTATGTACTCTTAGAGGCTTGTAGACAGATGTCATGTATATTAATACTTGTATGGCCTTGTCGGCCTATGTTTTGAGTGTACAAATGATGAAGTCGGCCTTATACATATGTCACATGTATAAGTTTATATATCATGTTGGGTCGTCCTATGTCGAGTATTCCCTTATGTTTTATTCTGTTTATCTCATGACGGCCTTCTGGCCCATTTACACATAATAGTATGATAAGAAAGACACGTTATATTGGTACTCAGTTAAGTAAGGCACCGGGTGCCCGTTGCTGACCTTCGATTTGGGTCGTGACAAACTCGGTACCATAGCATGTCTGTCCTAGGGATGTCTACAAGCCTTGTCTAGTAGAGTCTTATATATGAGTGTGTTGTACGCCACACTTATAAACAAGAGGCTGGGGGACATTTAGGATTGTTACCTTCTTTTCATATTCTAGATCGTGCGAAAGAGCGGAGTTATAGGGAATCGAGTCTAACGTATGCGTTGATATATGTTGTACAAAGATGTTATTACCCAGAAGAGCTGTGCCTAGTCCGGATGTTAAGGAAGGACTGGGAGGGGGTATGAGATGAACGCCCTCTATTGAGTCACTCCCTCAGATAGCCCCAATTCCACTAGCAGTAGAGGGGTTGAGGGAGGCTCCAGCATCATTAACTCTGCAAGTTCTACCACCGACTCTGTCTATGTAAGAACAACAGTATAGGTATTGATGCAGTTGGTAGCCTCTCAGCATTTGCATTACCCCAGGCCCCCTGATAGTGATAGAGCCCTTGAAGGGTTAGGAAATTCACAACCTAAGGAGTTCAGAGAGCAAAAGCCATCTATATTTCCAAGAGATGATTCTGATGAAGCTATCGGATTAACTAAGAGGGCCAGGATAGTTGATGATTACATAGGACTACTAGGTGGTGGTAGGTTATAGCAGATTGGGTTTGCGCAGTGACTTGCGCGTGATCAGATAAGTAAAGCAATATTGAACAACTAAAGAATGAGGCCTGTTAGAGTACGAGAAGTCGAGAATCAAGGATGTTTTGTTGAAATTACTTCGAAAGAAATGAGAAGTGGAATGTTATAAAAGGTTTGTGCGAAACCAAATAGAGCAATATGAGTGAATAGGGAAGACTATTAAGGGATATAAGTTAAAGTAGGAGAGTACAATAAGATTTGTAGGCAAGTGAGCTCTAAGGTTATAAAGCAATATAGGCTATGTTTTCATTAAAAGTGGATTAGTAATTTTAACGGGGATTATCCGAGGGTCAATTTAACCATACAGATGCGAGGTGCTAAAATCGGAGGATGACTTAGGATGAACTAGAACTAAGGTACTGATTAGAGACACAAAGGACTCTCACACTAGCTAGCATTGTAATAATAGAACCCTAAAAGAAATTGGAAAAGATATCCTTGACAAACCACGTGAACTAAAGTTAAACTCGTCGAAAGAAGGCATGCCGGCAAGAACGTATGACTCGCTACATATATAGACCCCTATAAATTGTCTTAGAGGAAGAAAGATTACCCATAAGACAATTGTAAGCTACTAGGAATATAGACCTACGGAAGGCGGAAAGACGAGTAGGACTTCAAGCGTGAACCATTGAACAAATTTCCTAAGGGGGGAAGACGAGGTAGTAAAGCACTAAGTCAAGAGAATTTTTTTTAACGACAAAAAGATTGGAGGATTGGGACAGAAAGGCGTATAAGCAATTTTAAAGTAACGCACAGGTACACAGGATATGGAAAAGAGACAATATTGGTTTATAAATAGACAAGCATAGTCAAACACTTTATACATGGGAATGTTAACGTGAAGAATTTGTTAAAGTTGGAAGATATAACTCCAAATGAAATTGTTGAGATTGAAAGGAGAAGCAAGAACAATCATAAGGAGTTAGAAAGGGACCCAAGTACGATGACTCTTGAAATTAAAAATAGACCATGGTAATGTCTAAATGTTGCGACCATGAGTGATAATCAAGATGACAACAAGAACAAGGGAGTTAGTACGATATTTCATGGAAAAAAAGTCTAAAGAAGAGAAACCATCAAAGTGGAAACAATAAAGTCGACATCAAGGATAAGACTTAGGAAAGAAAATAAGTAAAGGACGAAATAGAAAGAAGCAGTATGAAGGTAAGCCATTTCACAAAGTTAGTTTCTTCTATAAATCGGAACGTAACCAACAAAGAATACGTCAAATGTATACGGAAACAAGAAGATGAAAATCAATAGATGAGGTGCAGAACTATATGTATAAGGGATTCAGAATGTGTGGGGATTAGATTAGAGTTGCAAATAAGGAATATCAAAATATAAGCCAACTAAGAAGCCGTTGACAACTAGGGGCAGTGAGAAAAATAAGGAGAAATGGATAACCATAATGGTATACATGTTTCATATAAGACAACTTAGAACTAAAATAAAAAGAGTGGAACTAAGATGGTATGGGAGGCATTTAGTCAAAAGTCATGGGTGGTTTGATAAATGAGCAAGCCCAAAAAAAAAGGTTGACTAGAGGTCTTCACCAATTAATAGGTTTGGAATAGGCTTGGCAGACTCAGTAATAAAGGTATAGATGGAAGAGTCATCTCTTATAGAGAGAGAAGATTCCCGTTTAAGGGAAAGTTAAAAGGGGATCGTTTGACCAAAACTAGAACATACATAAGTCGAGTTGGCTAAACTCATTTTTTTTGTAACCATCATGGGCCAACATGACCACAACTCGTAATGCATAACTATAAGTAGGAAAACATTATATCAGAGCTCCATCGTACTTAAAACATGAATACACACGGGCCGTCAAGGCCTATGACATACTGTACAAAATGAACCCGTGTCTACAAAGCCACTAAGAGTATTTGACATTGAAAAATGGTCGCGACATGGACCCTGCCTACCCAAAGGTCTGTAGCAAGACTCTAACACGATGACTTATAGACTCGGCTGCACGCCGAATAAAGTGGAGTCTTACCGATCCTTCGCTGAATGCTAACCTTGTCTACTATGAGGGCTCGTCAAACTGATTACCTATACATGCATTCATGAATGCAGCGTGCACAATAAAAGGATGTCAGTACGAATAATGTACTGAGTATGTAAGGTAAAACTGAAACATAACAATAAGTCAACATTAATGAGAGAGATATAATAATTAAACTGAACCTCTGAACTGCCACTGAAGGCCATGATATGCATACTAACTATACTTATATATTTAATGCCTCTCTTGGGACTATTATCCATATCGTAACATGACTGCCCAACTGATTAGTGGTAACTGCCCGTCCGGCCATAGCGTAGTGGTTAATGCATGATTGCCCGACCGGCCGTAGTTCGGAGGTAAATGCATAACTGTCCAACTGGCCGTAGCTCGGTGGTAAATGCATGACTGCCTGACTAGCCATAGCTCAATAGTAAATGAAGATTCATGACTGCCGGTTCGGCCATAGCTCGGTGGTAAATGAAGATACATGACTGCCCGACCGACCGTAGTTCAGTGATAAATATATGACTTCCCGACCAGCCGTAGCTCGGTGGTAAATAAATATGTATGACTACCAGACTGGATGTAGCTCGGTGGTAAATAAAGATGCATGACTGCCCGACCGACCGTAGCTCGGTGGTAAATGAAAATTCATATAACACTACATTATGAACATTAACAAATTTATTGAATGCCTCATAAGAAACTTAGGAATATTCTTAGACATTCTTTGAATTACATTTTACAGGAATGAATAACGTAGACATCCTTAACTACTAAGAGTAGAACCATTTATAGAATAACATTATGTTTACGTTTCGTTATTTGGATCATGCCAAAAGAAGGAAGGATTAGCCTTAACATACCTTTAATATCAATTTCCTACTTTTATCCGTGAACAATCTCCTCCATACCTCAATCTCATATGCCAAAACTAGTCTTCTTCCACCTTACTTCACTATGAAGAAATCTCCAATTTGCTATTATCCGGAGGAAACCGACGTGGGTATAACATCTTTGTCATTTTCTGCGTTTGCCTCAATCATAGAACTTAGTACCCATTTTGTTGAGAAGGAATATGAGTTATCTCCTTAAAAATGGAGGAGGGACGTTGTTGTTTACCGAATTAAATCATGGGCTGCTACACACAAAAGTGAAAGCCACGTTGCTACCTCCATTTGCCTCCATCCAAGAACTTTGTATCACTTTAAAGATAAATTCCCTCCCACTCCTCAAAAATGGAATACATCACTCCTCAAATATGTGTGTCTTGCTGCTGAACAGTAGTTCTTTTTAAAAATATGAATAACTAACTTTAGTTAGATAATGAATTTGGACTCCACATAATAGAGTGTGGGCCCCTAACATAAATACACCTAATAAAGCACTTAACTCCTAAGAGGCCACCTAATAACTTATAATGCTTAGTCATTCTATCTCCTATACGTGGATTGATTCCCACAACAATAATTATCCACTAATTAATCTATTAATCTTCCACTAAAATTCAATATTTAACCAATTAGCCACATAATTAATTTCTGGATCACAATAATAATTATTTTATACACACTTCATAAACTCATTATCACCATCTTGAGGTATAATTCTAGTCCATAGCCTCCTTATACACACCAAATATTATTCCCTACCACCATCGTCACGCTTTTAAGTCCTACATTATTTTGGGACTTCATCTTATTATACACCGTGCTCTTTATTTACATACTTAAATATGACCAAAATTCTTCATGGCTCGGGTCAACTTATATATGTCGAGTGGTCCAAGCCATATCCCGAAAGCACGGGGTATTATATTGACGAAACTTATACTCTTCGATTTGTTGACTTCTAATCTTACGACACTTCCTCAACACTTTCTAAACTTAGCATAACCATTTGTAACCTCAAAAATAGTCTTGTCCTTGAATTTATGTCAATTATCTTAAGACAAATCCAACTTATAAAAGTACGGGATGTAACATCTTTCCCCCTTTTAGAAATATTCGTCCTCGAATGTTAACTCTTAGAGACTTACGAAAATTTTACCAGAGTCTCATCTCTTAATAATCTAAAACCAAACATAATCTTATCCCCCGCAATTCAGGAAATCCCTTCATGTTGAATCATTACTTTAATCGAAGGCTATATTCCTAAACGACATCCTCCTATCATTTATCACAATTACACTCTTATTCCATTACTAGGGCGGCATTCCATTTCTTCTAAATTCTCCTAGTCTTAAACTTCTCCGAGTTCATTCAAGCTATACTAAGCTTTCTATACCTTACGAAAACCATCAACACTCTCGTTTTGATGGGCTTAATCCCGTGGTCTTACATCTTTTCGTCACCTTCTCACTCACCTTTTCTTATCCTTATTCTTGCCTACCCAAAACCTTGTCGCTCTACCATGCTTTAGCTTGCAACCTACACATATCTATTCATACTACTCGCAATCTTCATTTAACTTCCTAGCACCATAGATTTCTTTATGTTATTCTAGAACCTCAAGTGAGACATCACGTTGCCTCTAATTCTTCTTTGTTATCATAACTAGACCTCTCAGTACCTGGAAACTATAGGCTGGAAGATGTGCTACTGACAACAACACTATCATATCTGGATACTAAATCACAGTGCTTCTAGCCCTTTATCTGAAGTCTCGACTATTCACAACCTTCTTTACTTTAGTATCTCATACCTTCTTCACCTTTACCTTACTTACCTTTAAATAACGCATCGTATCTTCTATCATTTTCATAATTTCCCTTCCACATAGGTGGAATTTATAGCCACACCTTAAAGCTCTACTATAATACCTGCACCTCTAGTGCATACACAATCTGGCAGAAGCTTTATACTGACCTCTTACGACTCAGATCTATGGAACGATCTAGAAACAAAAGAAGGGTAACATTTCCTAAATGCCCTATAGCC